AATGCGAGAACTTGTCCAGAGAAGCAGTGACACCAGAGATGGAGGCAGAGACAGAGATAAGGAAAGAGGGAGCAGCTGAGGACTCTAGATTCATGGGAAGAGAGGGACTGAGAGCTGGCGGCCAGGAAGCAGGCTTGCAGAATGTGGCCTTTGGTGGTGTAAATTATTATATATGCCTGAGTGTTTAAAAAAAAAAAAAAAAGCTAAAGTGAATAGAGAGAAACACTGATAACTAATGGTACATGGATGGGATTATATTCATTGTAATGAAACAAGGTGTATGGTTTGTTGAATGTAAAACTGACGATCTGCCCTATAAACTTTTACTCAATCCACAACAAAAACCTTAAAAAAAAAAATTAGCCATGAACAATCCTATGTTCCATAGTCATACTGTGATACACTTGGGGCTACCATGAGTTTATGGGTTAAAGTAGACCGATGTGTGAAGGCCTCTTACCATAGAGACTGGGAATGGGTGCTTAATCAGACATCATCATTCATCAGCATATTGGACATGTCTGTCTTTCCCAGGAGCAGAGTTGATCGGCGAGGATTCCAAGCAACAAAGACTTGATTTGTCTGAAGCGTTGGTCAGAAGAGTCTCAGACTAATACATTTTTTCTTTCTTTCTTTCTTTCTTTCTGGAATTCTTAGTCTTAGTCTTAGTGCTGCTATAACACAAATACCACAAGTGGATAACTTTAGAGAACAGAAATTTATTTCCTCACATTTCTGGAAGCTGGGAGTCTGAATTGAGAGTGCCAATAGGGCTAGACTATCAACTCTAGAGGAAGATCCTTGTCTCTTTCAGCTTTTGTTATTGTTGTGAAGTACCATCAAGTCAGTTCCAACTCATAGCAACCCTGTATAGGGTTTCTGAGGAGCAGCTGGTGGGTTTGAACCACCAACCTTGTGGTAAGCAGTCCAGTGCTGATCCTACAGCGCCACACCAGGACTCTTCTGTAGCCTCACGCTTTCTTGGCATTCCTTGGCTTGACAATTTTGTTTGTAGATGTCCAAATGCTTCTGTTTTTGTTCATCTGTGAGTTGTTTCTGTACCTATCTTGCTCTCTTCAAAACCCAAGTCTGTCGTGGATGATTTCCTAGGCAGAGCCATGGCTGATTTGCATATGACTTGCCACATAATCCACTGTCATTCATCTATTCGACAGAATCGTTTCACACGCACGCTCAACGTTGTCATCAGGCATGGATGTGGACAGGCGTTTCAATATAACTGCAGTGCGGATAATTTTTGACTCACGCTCGTATAATCCTAATGTTTAAATATGTGTCTTCCCAACATTGTGTTATGACCCTTTTAAAACACCCAAAAACATTGGAGGAAATATATAGTGGACCTCACACACCCACCACCTGGATTCCACAGTTGACACTTTTTGAAACATTTTTTTTAATGAGACATGAACTTAAAGCAAACAAGGGTAATTTTGACTATTGTTAGCTACCTTCAAGTCAGCCCCTTACCTGTGGAAAACAGTGCCCAGGATCAGCTCTGAAATTACTCCCCATCCACGCATCTGACTGCCATCGTTTAGATAACTTAAACTTATTACCTGCTCAAAGATACAAGTCAAGCTCCTTCATCAAAAGATAAACATTATTGCTCTATATGAAAATGACAATGCACTGTCCTTACTCTTACTGATGAAACTGGCCTAGGATGTGCTCAAATTCTTTCTTTTCTGTTTCTTCTCTTTCTACACTTAGCAGACCTGAATCACACCACCTGCCCTGTCCCATGGAGGTGCTCTAATATGAAAGTATTCGCTTTAACTTGCCACATGCTGTACCTGCCCACATCTTAGATACGTCTGACGACAGCTGCATGCACAACAGCCCCATGGCTCATTGCAGATCATATGATTGTGGTTTATAGGGTATTCACTGATGGATTGTCAAAAGTCTATTGCCAGTCTATTCTAGAACAGAGTGGGGCAACCACAGTTCCAGTTATCACATTGGTGGTGGTGGTCATGTGCCGTGGAGTCGGTTCCAACTCATAGCGACCCTGTACAGGGTTTCTGAAGCTGTAAATCTTTATGGGAGCAGAAAGCCTCATCTTTCTCCCACACAACAGCTGGTAGTTTCTAACTGCTGACCTTGTGGTTCGCAGCCTGGTTCGTAACCACTATGCTACCAGAGCTTCTTGGGCGTGAGTTAATTAAATGTTTGGCCAAATTCAGCAGGCTAATTTTTAAGCTGATCGTTTTGTATGGCCCACAAAGGATGTTATAAATTTTGGCAGCTAAAATGTTCCCCGGCCCTGTTCTGGAAGCACCAGTGAAACCTATTCAACGTCTTGGCTCCGTGTAAGCCCCCACTGACAGAGAAGTCATGTCTACATATGAGATGTACTAGCCAGGAATCAAACCTGGGTCTCTCACATGGAAAGCAGTACTTCTACCACTGAGCCACCCCTGATTTTACTATCAATATATTATTAAAATTAAGACAGATGCTGTTCTTAAGTGTTTTTGAGTCAGTTCCAACTCATAATGACCCTGTATAGGGTTTTCAAGGAGGGGCTGGTGGCTTTGAACCATTGACCTTGTGGTTAGCAGTCCCATGCTCTGCTGATTTAGCAAGCCAGACAGTCAAAGACAGATACTAGTATTTACCAAAATAATAACTCAGTGTTTTTTGCCTCATATGCCTACCTGACCCTGATTCTACTGCGATTCCCTCAAGACGTTTGGTACCCACAGCCCCGTAACCCTGCCACTTCTTTTCCTTTTCTCTCTTTTTCAGGTAACCCAATATTTATTGGACCAATCATTTGTAATGGACGAAGAAAGCCTTTACGAGTCTTCACTCCGAATAGAACCAAAACTTCCAACCTGAAGCTGCCCGGCTCGGACCCAGCCGCCCCCTTCCCTGTGTACACTTGCTATATGATATTGTACATATTTGTTTGGTTTCTCTGGATTTTCTTCTCAGTATGTGCTTCTCCAAGAATACAAATCCTTTCTTGTTCTTAGATTCCTGTAGACCCGGAATATGACTTTCTGCATCATTTAAGACTCTGCCCCAATACCCACCCTGTCGCCCTCAATTCCTGTCTCTTTTAAACAAGTGTACTCTTGGTCTGTCCTTCCTCGATCCCTCACTCTTCTCAGAATGGAAAACAGAACCCGTGCATACACGAATCTTAAGCACCAACCCTGCTTCCATCCTTCCCCAGCCCAGGCCCCTGGGTTGAGTTGGCCACCCAGGCATCCTCCCAGCATGTTCCATGTAGTTGTTATAACTGGGTGGGGAGGGGGGTGGGAGGGAGGGGGGATACCATACCCTGAAGTCCAGTCATTGACAAATCTTTCCGCTGATGGTGATGTCAATTTCCAAAGCAGCTTGTTCAGCCAAAATCGCAGGTCTCAGAACTCCCCGTCTTCCAGTCACTTGGATGAAACGGAGTCCTCTCTGCTGAGAACCACGTCACTCCACACCAATGCCGCAATCTCGTTCAGGCACTAACGTCGCTCCTCGCTCTAGGATAACATCCGATAGCATGAATGGCCGCTGCCTCAATCAAAACTGGACGGAGCCCTGGAACTTCCAGAGGGAAACAGAGTCACAACACAAAGTCACGTTGACTTGAACCGCTGCCCCAGCATCCACTGGAAGTCGGGAATACAAAAAAAAAAAAAAAAAAAAGTCACTGTTAACTCTTTCACCGCCTAACGGTCACTACAAGCTTACGTTGAGATGCTCTGAGCCTGTATACCTTGTG